CTCCTCCTTCTCCTCCTCCTCCTCCTCTTCCTCCTCCTCCTCCTCCTGCGTTGCTCTCCCCTGGGCGATTTGCCCCCATCGTCGTCCCCTGGGCGACCGCGGACCAGCACGCGGGGCGGCCGAGCGACGGCTCGCGCGCGGGCCCAGCGCGCGGCAGGGGCGCCAGCCGGGCACGGGCACACACGGCGCGGGCCAAGGCGGGTGGCTGCGGGTGCAGGCGCCGGGAGGGCGCGCAGCGAGGAGCGGGGCAGGGATCTGTGCGACCACGACGTCCTCGTCTTCCTTCTCCTCCTCCTCCTCCTCCTCCTCCTCCTCCTCCTCCTCCTCCTCTTTCTCCTCCTCCTCCTCCTCCTCCTCTCCTCTTCCTCCTCCTCTTCCTCCTCCTCCTCCCCCCTCCGCTCCCCTCCTCCTCCTCCTCCCCCTCCCCCTCCTCCTCCTCCTCCTCCTCCTCCCCCCTCCCTCCCTCCCTCCTCCTCCTGCTCCTCCTCCTCCCAGGCCTCGTGCGCTAGATTCCTCCTCTGCCAGGGTCTACATTCGGGGCGGCCGATCTTGCATAGGCCCCATCTCCACAGGAGCAATCACAAAGCGACGAAAGACGAGCGTTTTTTGATCACATTGGTTTGATTTGAAAAGAATGAAGCCGCGTCGCCCGTGACGCGTCTCAAGCGCTGTCAGCGCAGAGGCCCCCCCCCCCCCCCCGCGGTTATGCGCGGTCTCTCCATGGCGGGTGCGACGTGAGATCACCTCGCGGCGAGATGGGAGTGGCCGATCTTGCGGCACCGTGCCCTGCGCACCCCGCGTCTCACCACCCGCGGCCCGCCGAGGGCAGTCTCTCTGGGCCGCCAGCAAGGGGGCCGCTCCACGCAGGGAGTGGACGTCAGGCCGCCCGCTCGCTCGCCCGCCCTCCGCCCCGCCTGGCGGGGCACCCGTGTAGGCTTCCCGCGGCCGCCGTGGGCGGCTCGCCAGCCAAGTCGGACGAGCTCAGCGCCACCTACAAGAACGAGGCCTGGGGGCAGGGGGCTTGCAGGCGAGGAGGAGGAGGAGGAGGAGGAGGGGAGGAGGGGGAGGAGGAGGAGGAGGAGGAGGAGGAGGAGGAGGAGGAGGAGGAGGAGGAGGAGGACGGGCGTGCGCGGATGCAGGACAGGCCGTTCGCAAGTAAATTTTACAGACATGATGCTCGTTAGCACCCAGACCAGGCGCCGTGTTGGTGGCTCTCTGACTGCTTGCGAGTGCCAACGGGAAGTCGCAGATTTGGTAGAATTCTCGCAGATACCTTACGGTCAGGAACCTTGGCTTAGCTTGTGGCACCGCCGGTTCTGGCCCACCACGCCTCGGCGCGACACGCTATCCACGGCTCATTTCCATAGCGTCAAGGTCCCGAGCCCTTCCGTGCCTCCCGCCCTGTGGAGCGGAGCGACACGCTATCAGCTCGCGGGGCATGTTGTGTCGCTGGGGCCGCCGCCGCGACACGCTAAGCACAAGTTCCTGCCCGTATGACCAGTTCCGCCAACCTTGAGAAGAGAACCGCTTGGGTTCAAGAGGCGGAAGGGGGACCGACATAAGGGGCATTGGCGTCCGCGATGCGAGGGCGACAATCCAGTGGCCTTCGGCCCATCCTGCCACTGCGCTTGGGTCGTGCTGCACAAGCCTTGGTGACATTTTTGGGGTTCTTGTGGGGCTTCTCGGGGGCTCCTCTCGGGTGCGTCTTGGAGCGTCTTGGGGTACCCTTGGGATATTGGGATCATGTGTTGGGCCAGAGGGGTTGGCTTTTAGCGGGGCGGCGTTACCGTGCTTTTTTGTGCCGCTCGTAGAGCCGTCTTGGTCAGGCGATCGCAAAAAAGGATTAAGGGGGCGTGGATTAGCGACGGGTCCAGTTTCCATTGGAAATCGCGGATTTCCGCCGCCGAGCGAGGCGGCACCGGCCGCATTTTGGGCCAAATCCATGGATCGCTAATCCATGTTTGCGCGCGGCGTCTTGGGCTGGTCTTGGGGAGATCTTGGGCCGGCTTTCAGGTTTGTGGGACCGATGTGGCGACAACGCTTCAGCCTATTTTGGCCTCGTGGGCCGTCCCGCCAGAGTGCCAAAGTTGCCCGAGGTTGACCCCGAGAGAGGGCTCTAGCCGGCCTGGGTGGCTTAAACTCCTGACGCTTCGCGAATCCCCACCAGTTCAAGGCCCCCTGGCTCAAGGCCACCCTGGCTCAAGCACGCCCCTGGTCCCAGGTACGCGCCGTGCTCGGCCTGCCGCGATGGCTCCCGGCGCCAACGGCCTCACCGGCGCCGCCCTGCGGCGGCGCCAGCGCCTGGCTGCCGCCGCCTCCCCCCCGGAGGCTGGCGTGCGCGCGGCGGCGGGCGGCGGTGGCGCTTCGGCCGCCCCTCCTGCTGCTGACGCTGCTGCCGCTGCCGCCTCCCCACTGGAGGATGGCGGCCGAGCGCCGGCGGCTGGCGGCCCCCCGCCGCCGGCTGCGCTGTGCGAGGGTGGCCCGCGGCTGCCGCCAGCGCGGCTGCCGCCACCCTGCGCCGCCAGCGCGGCTGCCGCCGTTGGCGCGACGACGCCGCTGCTCCGCGCGGCGCGTCTGCCGCCGCGAGCGCCGCCGACGCCGCCAGCGCCGCTAGGCCTGGGCGCCCCCCCGCCGCCAGCGCTGCTGGCGCTGCTGGCGCGACGGACGCTGCCACTCTGAGCGTCGCGCCTGCCGCCGCCAGCGCCGCCGGCGCCGCTTGCTCGAGCTCCCCTGCCGCTGCCCCCGCCGCCCGCGCCCCCCAGACGGCTCGAGTCGGGGCGACCCGCGCTTGCCGGCCCACGCCCCGCGCCTCCGGCGACGCTCGCGCTGCCGACGCCTTCCGCGTCCGCACGGTCGACGCCGCCGATGCGCCAGACGCGGCTGCCGCCGCCGCCGCCGCCAGCGCGTGCGCCGCCGCGGCTGCGGTTGCCGCTCGGGCCCCCCTGTGGGCGGCCGAAGAGGACCTCGCCCTGGCTGCCAGACTCGCGACAAAAGCGGTCGAAGGCGTGCTGTCTGGCGCCGCTGGGGTCGCGGCGCATGGCATGCTGGGGAGGGGGTGGTGGTCGTGGAGGTCGGGCAGGAACAGGAGCAGCGACAGCAGCAACAGCAGCCCCCCTCCGTATGAGCAGCAGCGGGGGCTGCAGCAGCAGGAGCAGCAACAGCAGCAGCAGCCCCATAGTGGATTTCAGTCAGCGCCTGTAGCCGTTAACGGCCGCCGCCTTGGAGAAAGCGCCGCCGCTCCCCACCCCTACCCCCGCCTCGGGGGCAGTGCCGCGGTCGAGGCAGAAACCGTGGCCGACAGCGCGCTCGCCCCTGGACGCTGCCTCGCCGTGGCGGTTGGGAATGCTACAGAGGGTGCTCCGACGTCTGTTGGGCCCGCGCACCAGGCGGCCAAGCAGCTCGCCTCCTCGGCCCCTCTCTTCCAGCGGCAGCACCCGGCGCAGCGGCCGCAGGAGCTGCAGCAGCCGCAGTCCCACGCGGACCCCACTCGGTGCCTGCTGCCTTCTCCGCCCCACACTCGTGCGCGCGGGAGGGGGAGGGGCAGGGGCAGGGCCGGAAGCAGGAATCTGGGCGGGAGCTGCAGCAGGGGGCTGGGCGGGTGCAGGGGCGGCAACAACAGTGGCAGGGGCAGCGACAGCAATGGCACCTACAGCAGCAATCCCCTGGAGAAGACACCGCCCCTCACCCGCTTGGGCGGCCGCGGGGGGGTTATTAGCAGCAGCAGCAGCGGCGGGGGCGGCGTCAGCAGTAGCAGCCCCCTGATGGACTTCGCTCGGCACCTGCGACCGTCAGCTGCCGCCCTGGCTAGGGCGCCGTCTCTGGCCAAGACGACAGCTGCTACCCCAGTGCGGCTCTAGCCCCCGCGGCCCATGGCGCGCTCGGACAGCTTTGGCGGACGAACGGGACAGCGAAGCCATCCTGCAGCTGGCGCTGAAAAGTCCCTTCGCACCTATTCGTCCTCCTTCCCGCGCCGGAGACTCGACGCGAGTGGTCACTTCGCCGGGCCGCCACGGGGCAGCCCCAGCAACGCCGCAGAGCGAGCCGGGGCCATCTCTGGCGTCAGAACACGAGCAGGGGCAGGAACGTACCACCACCCTCCTCGGCTATCCCCCGGCTCATGCTCTTCACCCTGGCGCCCCCCTCCCTGGCGAGGGTGCGAGCTCGATCGCCCAGGAGCTTCGGCGGCGCGACCGGGGCGCGCCCGCGGCGCGTCGGGCTGTGAGTGGGTGGGCGCCCAGCCTTGCCCCGGCGGATGTCGATCCTCCTGCCCCCCCGCCGCCCCCAGGGCGGAGTCTGGTCCATGGCGACGCCGACGGCGTCGACGGGTTCGGCGAGCGACTAAGAGGCGGCGCTCACATTTGCTGCGGCGGCAGCAGCAGCCATGCCCGAGACCGAGAGACCCCCCCGCCTGGGGAGGCGGGGCTCGCCGATCGCCGGCAGCCAGAGCCACGAGACCCCGACGCTGGAAGGCCACTCTATAAAGCCAGGGTCCACGATTTCCCAGGGGAGCCCTGCGGGGAGTCCCCAGACGACGATCAGGCGCCTTCGGGTCACCCTGGGGGCGACGTTCATAGTCGTCTGGCATGCCTTCGCCGAGCGGCGCGCAGTTCCCGGCGCCGCGCGCGCGGGTTAGACCCGCGTCTGCGCGACCAGCGAACCTGCGTCAACTTCCTGGCCTCATTTTGCAGCCGCAGCTGCGATGCCATGGGCGACGCGCTGGGCCTCGGAGTCGACTGGGCCCAGCTGCGTGAACAGCACCTGGGTCGCAATGTCGGTGCGAACAGGGGGCGCCCGGCACCGCGGCGAAGATGAGCGTCGCGGGCCACTCTGCACCAGCCCCGCAGCCGCGACCGTGCCCCGCGGCCCCCCTGGTGCACCCCGGGCCGCCGCTGCAGCTGCTGCTGCAATGGGGGGGAAGTCGCCGCGGCTTCTCCTTCCTCGCCGCTCCCCTGGGGCTGTCCTGCGGTGGGCCTCGCAGTCGCCCTCGGCGCCATGCAAGGGGGCGCAGACGTGGAAAGGAATTTGAATCGCGGACCCCCCCGAGGTGACCATGGGGCGGAAGATGGTCCAGAGTTCGTGCAGGGCCTGGGGGCCTTGTCGCTGCCTGGGGACCAAGCCGTGCCCGCCTCCCTCGAATCCGCAATCCACCCTGGTCAGCCCACCCCAGTCGACGATGGCTCTAGTCGGGACTTTCCTGCTCGCAGCGAGGCCTCCGACCCCCCCCAATCTCGCCGGCGCACCTCTCGGCGCCGCTGGCCCGCGCGTGGCTGACCGATCAGATCCTTTCGTGCCGGTGCTTGCAGCCGATAGCTGCGCCCCTGGATGTGAGGATCCTTGATCAGATCGCGATTCCAACCGCGACCGCGGCTACGACCACAACGTCTCTGTCACGCCAGAACTTGTGGCCGTTAGCTACGCCCCTGGAGACGTCGACGGCGACGAGACGACGCGACTCTACATCGGCGATTATTTTACACCAGTGCTTGTGGCCGTTAGCCCCCCCCTCTGGAGGCGTCGACGACGACGAGACGACGCGACTCGACATCGGCGACTATTTTACCCCAGTGCTTGTGGCCGTTAGCCCCCCCCTGGAGACGCCGACGACAACGGGATGCGGTATGCTGCGTCAGTGGCGGTTCGGGACATGGGCGTGAGTTCTGGTGCGAGTTCTGTCGGGTGTGAGTGCAGCCAGGTGCGAGTTCAGCTCGGTCTGGGCGCCGTCAGGTGCGCGCCAGGCGCAGCAGCAGCGCCGGCGGCCCCCGCACCTGGTGCTACAGCTTCAGCAGCTGCCCCTGGGCCCCCCCGGGTGCAGCAGAAACCCCTCCTGGGGCGAGGGTGTGAGTTCAGCTGGTGCGAGTTCTGTCGGGTGTGAGTTCAGCCGGGTGCGTGTTCAGCTGGTGCGTGTCAGCGGCTGCAGGTCCATGTGCGCCAGGAATTGCAGCCGCTAGCCGCTAGCTGCGCCCTTGGTCGTTCCGTGTGCACCAATACTTGTTGCCGCTAGCTG